ACTGGAGAAGATGATAGGGTTTACTTACTGGAGAAAACGATAGGGTTTACTTACTGGAGAAGATGATAGGGTTTACTTACTGGAGAAGATGATGACTTACTGGAGAAGATTATAAGGTTTACTTACTGGAGAAGATGATAGGTTTACTTACTGGAGAAGATGATAGGGTTTACTTACTGGAGAAGATGATAGGGTTTACTTACTGGAGAGATGATAGGGTTTACTTACTGGAGAAGATGATAGGGTGGAGAAGATGGTAGGGTTTACTTACTGGAGAGATGATAGGGTTTACTTACTGGAGAAGATGATAAGGTTTACTTACTGGAGAAGATGATAAGGTTTACTTACTGGAGAAGATGATAGGGTTTACTTACTGGAGAAGATGATAGGGTTTACTTACTGGAGAAGATGATAGGGTTTACTTACTGGAGAAGATGGAGAAGATGATAGGTTTACTTACTGGAGAAGATGATAGGGTTTACTTACTGGAGAAAACGATAGGGTTTACTTACTGGAGAAGATGATAGGGTTTACTTACTGGAAAAGATGATAGGGTTTACTTACTGGAGAAGATTATAAGGTTTACTTACTGGAGAAGATGGTAGGTTTACTTACTGGAGAAGATGATAGGGTTTACTTACTGGAGAAGATGATAGGGTTTACTTACTGGAGAAGATGATAGGGTTTACTTACTGGAGAAGATGATAGGGTTTACTTACTGGAGAAGATGATAGGGTTTACTTACTGGAGAAGATGATAGGGTTTACTTACTGGAGAAGATGATAGGGTTTACTTACTGGAAAAGATGATAGGGTTTACTTACTGGAGAAGATTATAAGGTTTACTTACTATAGGATGATAGGATTACTTACTGGAGAAGACGATAGGGTTTACTTACTGGAGAGATGATAGGGTTTACTTACTGGAGAAGATGATAGGGTTTACTTACTGGAGAAGATGATAGGGTTTACTTACTGGAGAAGATGATAGGGTTTACTTACTGGAGAAGATGACAAGGGTACTTACTGGAGAAGATGATAGGTTTACTTACTGGAGAAGATGATAGGGTTTACTTACTGGTGAAGATGATAGGGTTTACTTACTGGGGAAGATGATAGGGTTTACTTACTGGAGAAGATGATAAGGTTTACTTACTGGAGAAGATGATAGGGTATACTTACTGGAGAAGATGATAGGGTTTACTTACATGAAATAAAATCCAGGTTTATAAAGTTGTTTTCAAGGTACATCAATAAATTCGAGCAAACATATGCACAGCTGGTCAGCGTCTGCATTATCTCGTTGTGTGTATATTGACCAAGGGAATGACGAATGAGGATTATTAATCTCGATTTTGTATTGGTCATAGTTTAACATAGCCACTTATGGTGACAGCTTGTACCCGAAAGAGGTACACGAAGGGGAAAGTTAAGAATTTAAATGCAATGTTTCTAATTGTACATTTTCGTTTTACAAATCGATAGATCAAGAATTAAGTATCTCTATTTTAGCAAGTATAATTGTTTTTTTCGTCAGTTTGGTAGTTGGTTTGAAATGTATTTGGATAGATAGGTTACGCCCCTTTATAAGTCTGCTACTATGGCGTCATCTTTTAGTGAATTATAACAGGCCGCATCAAATTAGTACTTTTCTGGCACAGACTGGAGTTAGCTTCTCAAACAAATCAATATATCCAGAATTCTCATGTTTGATTGAATACTGACATTAACACGTGTATAACCCGTAATGTTATAGATGCTATTGATCATGACTTACGTCTGTTCCTTGATGTATATTTTCTCTTTATTTGTCCTAGAAAGACCAACCCAAAAGGACCCCATTTTGTACGTGTTTACTCGGCAACACAAACATGGGGAAGGGAAGATGTAATACAACGTTCAGAAGGAAGCTTGATTTTCTTTTAAAGGTAAGTTTTTACATATTTCTATAAATGCTGTTTCATACATAAAGTTATATTTATTTAGCTTTCAAATAACCCTTTGATATAACTGGATGATAATAGAGTAAAAACCCTGCTTGTCATGTTTTCCGTTTGGCGGGTAGTGACACAGGTTTAAAGTATATATCTTTATGTCATAATAAATAAAATGTAAAGGATCGAAATAAAATGATCAATGTTTTTTCTTGCTATATGTTTATATTTTTGTTCGATAGAAATATATCTTTCCTTCGCTTTTCTTTTCGATATTTAACGCTTTGGTCTCAAGCGCCAACGAAAAAGTCATCATTGGGCAAAATATGTGTAGGATGTTGTTTTAACCATTACTTAATACTGTACATACTGCTAATTTATGTTCGGAATTGTTTTTTATTTAAATTAGTCTTCGGTACGATCCTTTACTTTTTCGGGATGAGTAAATTTATTTAATGCAGCATTTCCTTCTTTGTATAGTTGAAAGTATTAGTATAACATTATTGAAATTTATACAATAATGCCAAGAAAACAATGCTGAGAGTTCTTACGGCCGTACAAATTAATTAAAGTAGTTACATTCAACTCTCGCACTTATATTCAGCACAATATTTAGGTACAGAATGTACAAGGTATCATGTTACATTACTTTAACATTTAGATTAACATTAAACCCATTCTATACATATATACGTTATATGTATCATGTAAATCTTCTCACCTTAATATATACTAGCAGAAAGAGAAACTGTACATGTATAAAATATTTTTTTTTCTTTTTTCTTTTTTTTTTTTTTTATGTATTGCTCAATTTTATTGATTAAAGCTTGAAACTTCACACATTTAAGTTGTGTATAACTCTCCGTCATTTACACAGGTCAGTGTATAAGTTGAACGGGTAGTTCGTCTGTCTTGCCCACGTCTTCGTTTTCACTTTCTTTTTCGGCCAGCAGTTAATCGTAAACACGTTTGTCGTCTAAACCTGTGTAAAAGCAGCGTAGATACCTGTAACACACAAAACCAAAATAATTTTGAAAACATCTTTGATACACCATGTCAAAGTTGAATGAAACTTACAGATGCCGGCCGTAGACATGATCGAAGCTGGTTTACGCCATACTGACGTTGTCAGACAATTTGGTGTGCTCCAAATACTGTAGACGCCTTGTAGAGACGGTACCAACTGTTTGGTATAACCAGACACCAGCCTCGACCAGGACGTCCACGCGTAACGTCTAACCACCAGGATACGTGTATACGGCGGAGATAGTGACATGGGGAGGCATCTCTTTCCGTGGCAAAACAGCTTTTGTTGTTGTGTACGGCACACTTACAGATATCAGATACTGTGACGAAATCATCCGGTTTCACGTCCTTTCGTTTGTGCAGCAACGTAACGCCATGCTGCAACACCCGCACGTCGCGTGGGCCGTCACTGACTTCCTGACCCAGAACAATGTGAATGTACTTCCCTGGCCTGCTATGTCACCAGATATGTCGCCTTCTGGACACGTGATGGATGAGATGCAGCGTCGCTTACAAAATCAGCCGTTGACATTTCTTGATCTGTCACGCGCGCTTGCGAGAATATGGAATGGTATCCTCCAGACATTTTTCAGTACACTTGTCGCATCAATGAGACGTTGTTGTCAAGAATGCAAAAACACCTTTGTCTCTATCCAAGACGCTGCTGATGCAATAACCAAATCCACTGAGTTGGTGTTAACTAAACGTCATATAAGCCTCTGTTGAATTTTTTTGGCGTTTTCTTATATACCGCCTAATGTTATGATATTATACCCGTGCATTTTTCTTTTTTCTGCGAGTATGTATAGATACATAAAGAATACAATAAATATGCATTCTAAATAAATCTTTAAAGGTAGTTAAATTGAGATACAATAAAAATCGTACCTATTTGTGAAACAGGTGTCATGTAGTTAGGAGCGTAGTCTCGCTATTATCGATGTACTTCTTTAACTTTTAAATTTATCATAAACCGATTCAGTACATATACGTTATAAATCTTATCTTTTCAATAATATATGCATAGATAGAGAACACATTAAATACTTATCATGAGTAAATCGTTAAAAGTAGTTTATAAACAATATGGCGATACAGTAAAAATCGTACCTATTTGTGATATATATATATATATTCTTTATAACAGATAAATACAAGCATATCAAGATAAAATGATATTGTGGAACCAGTACATACATAGTAAATCGCGAATTAACAAATATAAGATGAAATATCGCTGGAAGCAGGCAATTAATCAAGTACAAGCGAGTGTCTGTTCTGTAAAGGGTCTGGAACGTTGGAATGCCTAATACCGTGTCAAAATGACTGAAAGCGCAATGAGAACAAATGAATCCTTGACCATTGGCTAACAGACGAGGTACCGACGGGAAACTGACCAATAACAAAAACAGAAACTAAATTAGGAGGCCAAAAATGGCAATACACATATTACATTACATAATTATGGCTATAATGTATACATGTATTGGAATAAGAAAACATGAAATAGACAAATGTCTCAATGAACGTATTTGCATTACAGTATTTTATCACTTAAAGATCAGAAAATTGTCGACTTGAATATTTATAAAACAGTACATATGAAGTTCCGAGTTTTAGTCATTGTCTACTCTGAGAAACCTTCATCTCAAAAACCAACACTACATCCGTTCGCTATAGTTAACTGTGTATATTTGATGGTATATCAATACAGTATATCTCGTATTCTGTCACAGCAGTCAACCTGGAATATGCTGATAGTAAGTATGGCTTCAACTGTTTGCTTTGTAGGAAGTTGAATTGTTTATCAATACCTGTATGTCATCAAATAAATATTCTGTTTCATGTAAAGTTATATTTTTAAATGATACGGATCTTGACGGTATGAATATATTTGCTCCATTACGTCTGTTAGAAAATTATGTCCGATGTAGAATTTAATTATTGAATATTGATGTTGGTGATTTTTTCTTACTACATGTGCTTGTACTGTATTTTCAAATAATCTTCATAATTTCATAACAATCGTGTGTTATCCAGGATGTGGCCCGAGGAAGATGAAGATATGGAGTTAGATTCACCAAAAACACCTCTGTTCAAATTCATCAAAAGTAAGATGACGTATTCCGGAAGCGACGTCACTCTTAATAAACATGATAGAATCCATGTCAAAAATCGTGAGGAAGCCAACTCTTTACCTCTAGGGGATCGAATAAATCTACGTAAAGAGTTCATACAACGTAGACGGTGGGTTGTTGATTTAGAATTCGTCTTTGCGATGGCTGGTATAATTTTGATGATGATTGAAACGGAACTTTATATTACACACAACATATCAAAAACGAGTGTGATTTCCCTGGGCATCAAATGTATTATCTCAGTCACAACCGCCGCCCTCCTTGTTACCATATGTATCAACTACTACACGGTGATACAAATCAAAGTACTCGATGTCGGAGTTAAAGATTGGAAATGCGTAATTACGACTTGGATGGTTTGTAGTTTACTTGTAGAAATTATAGTGTGTGTTCCACATCCGTTTCCGGGTGACTATAACATTGTGTATACATCACCTGTGGGTAGCAAACGATTGGTCAGTATTGACGCGGTATTGTCAATTCTAATGATGACCAGACTGTATTTGGTTGGTAAATTCGCCGTTGTGCACAGCCGATTATTGACAGACACGTCCACAAGTAGTATTGGAACACTTAGCAAAGTGAAAATCAACACGAAGTTTGTTTTCAGGGCTGCAATGACTAACAGACCAGGAATGCTGATATTTTTAGTCATGGTGATCACGTTCCTTGTAAACACGTGGGCAATGAGAACCTGCGAGATTTATTATGAACCATCGAACAGCAAGAATACTTACTTGGAAACTATGTGGCTGGTTGCCATTACTTTCCTTACAGTCGGGTATGGCGACGCCACGCCCAGTAGTTACTGCGGCAGGTACATTTCCATAATCACAGGTAGTATGGGTGTAGTCACAACAGCTCTTCTCGTTGCCATGTTGGCGAGAAATCTAGAACAATCTCGAGAAGAAAAGTACGTATTTAATTTCGTGTCAAGGATGCAAATCGAGAGCCGCAAGAAAAATGCAGCTGCAAATGCCATCAAAAACGTTCTGAAAATATGGTCATTGAGAAAACATGGCGCAGGTGAAAGTAAGGACATAAGGAAATATACCGACCGTTTAAAACATGCACTGAAGGAAATTAACGTTGCTAGAGAAGAAATGGATCATATTGGAGACGGAATGCTGGGAATGGTGGACGTAGCACACACGGTAGACCGGATCGGTACGGTAGTGGACAGGAACGCTCACGGACAGAATAAGCTGGAGATGAGAATTAATTCTCTTGATATGCGACTCTCCAACATCGAAGACAAATTAAATGAAATAAGAACACTTCTGTCAGCAAAGTTTAGGTAGAATTATGGAATGTACAAACGTGTATATTAGAAAGTGTTTAAATGGTTAATATGTAAAACGTAATATTACCTAGATATACACTTTCCTGAGTGTTAATGAAGGAGTTTCTTCGATCGAATACGGATGTACTGTTTTTATTTTAAATGTTCATAAATATATTTTCATGTTGATAAATGATTAGCCAGTCACACAACATACAACGAAACATACCCGGATATACCTATGTCATTAAATAAGCCTGTCGGGACTAGATCATGCATTGAACAATAATTTTATCTCGATTCTCCGGTGTATTTCCCGGAGATTATATATTCTGTATTGATGCATCAATGTACTTACTTATATTTAATTTCTAGTGTACATCATCTACTTTTCTTTACCAACAAAATGGATGTTTATACTTAAGTAAACGTAAAACTGGAAATCAAAGATATGACAGACTATTATGCATCAGCTGCTTATCTCGATCATTTCCTACACCGAAACCAGCACGGACAGGTTTCCATCAAGTTGTATGATAAACGTGATGATTTCAATTTCCCTATTGTGAATTTTCAATTTCTGGATAGCAACGTGCCTGCATCTCCAACCTATGGCATTTACGTGTCATAGTTAATTCGCTATGCAATGGCCTGTTCCCTTTTTCATGACTTTCGTGCAAGAATTCGTCAACTGACTGACAAACTCGTAACACAAGATCTCAAAATATGCAGGTTGATGAAAATTATCGGGATTTTTTACGGTCGCCAAAGTGATCTCGTTGAGAAATATTCTATTTCTTTGTGTGGCATATAGCTGGACATTTTTGATGCTAGTTAGTTTGCCTGTTGGTTCCGTTGTTGTATACCTTGCTCTCATTGGAGAACATTGCTTACTTGGATTGACCAAGGTTTACATGGCGTGTGTCATCGAAGCAGAAGACGCTTACTCTTCCGGAACAACTGGTATTATTCTCCTTGTACTGTTTCAGGAGTCTCCGTGTGAATCTTTCTTTTATTCATATTTTCCTAGCTTTATTGAATTTGAGTTTAAATAATGATTATGTTGCCATGTTGGTAATTTCTTGATTGTTTTACAACATTTCTTGTCAAATTGGAATCTGCTATTTTTCGTTTCATTTGACGGGATAAAGATATATATTTTTCTTTAAAACATCAATTATTTCTGTAGCAGTATATGCCAATGCTTTAAGATGCCCATTGACCTGGGAAGCTGCTGAATAGAATAGTTATGTAACTTTCGTGTATCATTTATGATTTGGTTAGCTGTACTCGGTTACTAGAACGATAGAGGGTCAGATGGATTCATTAAAGGCGTGGAACACCCACTTATCTGGTGACCTCTGTATTTTCATATTTCCAAAATAGTGAAAAAAGAAAAAAGTGCAGATTTATTTTATGTGTTAACACTCCATTTGTAACATAAGCTGTAGACACTGGATCATCTATTTGCCTTTAACTCTGAAGGAATAGCTTTAACATGTTAACCTCAGGGTAACCATCCAGTGATCATGACGGAAAGCAATACAGAATTGCAACCAAATTTGTCATTGTTGAAGGTTTTATTGAAATAAAGACAGTCAACACACGACGTCAACTATCGAAAGGGTTATGAAGAAGTTTCTGTCGTGATTTTACTGTTGAAAACACACAATGTTCGATTCTATGCCTTGATGATGTAGCCTTGGCCACTTTGCCAGACAATAATATAGAGCAATATCAACCACTTCGAACATCGAAATGATATCAATGTAACAACAAAATTATATTATGATCGTTGTTTAAACCATTAAATCATGTTGTCCATCTAAACAGTTTTACTTTCTTCTTTATTATCACTTTTTCTTCTTATTATTTCATTAACAAAGTACGATTAAACGATATATGCCAGGAGTATTACCCTTTCCATACAGGTAACATGAATGTACTTAAAAAATCAACTCGGGTTCCATTAGTGGTGTTAAACTGGAACTAGTTGAAAATGTTGAGAAACTAACATGATTTGAATTAGTTTTGGATACCTTTACTATTTAAACTCAAGATGGTTTAAATCTTTTGATATTTTTTCTCTCGACTATTGTATCATTATAGTCTAAATACAGGTAAGGTCCCATGGGTCTCGTGTTATGGTGTTACTCATGAACAGAGCTGCATAGCTGCCATGGCAAAGGTTTAGAAATCTCTCTGTCAGATTCTCGGAAGGAGCAATTAAACACTGATTTTCAAATACACGTATTAATATATAATGTCTTGTCTTAAAACATTGGCACTAAAGTCTAACAATTTAATATTTAAGTCTAAAGTGGCCACCTGTCCTGCATCGTTATTTTCCTTTTCGTATTTTTCAAAACCCTCTAGAGACCTTAAAGGGATAACGGAAGAAGGATGTTTTAATCAGCAGACCGCCAGAAGATACTGGACTAAAATGTCAGTAGTCCATTTCTAGTGGGAACCATAACACTTACAAAGTATGTGACATATGTATAATGACATGATGATGTAGACTTTGATAAATGAAATCAATCTTCATTCAGGGGGAAGGGGGATCATTAGTACAGAGGACAATATACTGAACCGTCGTATCGATGCTCTATATTGTGTGTTGACATGGTTACCAATACAGTACATTATACCATTCTTATGGTTTATCGTATCCATGTTCTATATTGTGTGTTGACTGTTATATATTATAATATTATAAAATACAACGATTGCAGTTTTAACTCCAATGTGAAACTAGTACAACATCTAGGATACAGTGAAAATGAGAAATATTTTAATGCAGAAATCTGAGTTCTCTCCCTTCGGTCGTACAAACCGAACGCACTCAAACTGTATGAAGATGGAAAATAACAGCCAGTGGTCCATATATGGATTTCATTTGGCTATTACAAAGTATATCTTATGGAAAATATTGCAGAAAAGATACAAAGACGAGAAAAACAAACTGTTTTGATATCAGGTAACATATCGGATGATGCAGAATAAAAAATAAAATATGATCGGTTTCGTTTGTAAGGCAGAGTGTCTACACTGATTAACGGAATAAGATATTTGAAAAAACAAAGCACGCTATTATATATGTAAATGCATGCTACAGCAGCTGTCTTCTTTCCCTTATTTCGGTCGCAGCAAAGCATCATTATCATCATTAGTTGTAATTTATTCGTATTTTAATATTCATTAGTAATTGAACTTAAAATATTCATTTCCAAATATGACCTAGTCTTTTATAGAAAAATACACAATGACATGTTTTAATACATAATTTATCTCATTTTGTATCTCACAGTGATATCAATGTTTTCCTATCATTATTCCAACAGATGGGGTTTATTTTCCAGCGGATCATTTCAGTAAGTAAGTATGGAAAGTAAACTTAAAGGAAAATCATCCATGTTTTATACTGGTATTAGAAATATTGTTTGTAGAGAATTTGTTGTTATGAAAAAATATTTAACTGTAAAGATGAAAATATTTTGGAATAATGATTCTTGGGTTAGGTAAACAATAACGAAATATATTCTTTAATCTATAAAAAGATTGTCCTGGCATAATATGTTGACATGTTTTATAAGATATGTTATACATATATACAGAATATGTGGTCAGTGTCTTAAAATATCAGCTGTATTTTGGCGAGGGTGAAGAAAGACAAAAGTAGCAAGCTTCTGGCGCGCCACTCTTGTCTTTCTGCCCAGAGCCAAACTGTTGAAATATAGTTCCAAACTTAATCTGATATAACAGTGATTATAAGAATTTTCATACATCAATATGTTCATTACAACATATGAAATGGCTTATATCAACAGGTGTTCATATTTCTAAACGTAATATTTAAGTAAATTCAGAGAGTGATTCTGTCGAATTACCGGCACGTGCTAAAATACACCTGTTTTCCGTCACTGCGAAATACAACAAAAATATATACGGAAGGCGTATTCCGACAATGGCAGTGCAAGTTGCAGGATAGAAACATAACATTTTCCAATCTAACTATATGTCTTAATCAATGGTACATTTTTTTTAAACACTTACACACTATATCCGTAAGGATTTAAATAGTCTAAACGATATACCAAGTAAGCAATGGACGAATTCAGCTGCTAAATAAGTATTTGCTTTTAAGGGTTCCATCCTGGTACTACGGAATCATGACTGGTTTATATTGATCAACAGCCTATCAACAGCTAGGGACATTTGAGGATAACATGATCTCACATATTGTATCCAACCTGATTAATGCGTAATGACTTCTTGGGGGCTTCCATATGTTTGCGTAAGCCTTCATGTGATCATGTGGAATTGAAGTCGATTTAAAGCGCAACCTCACTTAAGTACATTGTCAAAGGCCCCTAGCACGACTCTCTGCTTAGAAAAACATACTGAAAATGACAAATTAGTCATTACACTTACACAATACTGACCGTTAAGCAAGAAGATGCAAGTACCATTTTAAAGGTTGTTGTGTCTTGGCCCACTGGAGAAAACACAAAACCGTTTGCATATAGGTTAATCCTCAACTAAAGACCAAGAAGTTGTGCAAAATAGAGAAAATTAGAAAAAAAAATCGAAGTTGAGTTCAAAGTTCAAACAATCATGCAATGGGAAAAACAATGGTACAATTCTTAAGCACAACATGGAAGTGATTGTATTTGTCATTACGTCACCGGAGTCTGACGTTTGCTCAATAAGAATATATAATATTGTCAAAATACCATCATTAAACAACAGCAGTGGAATAGATCTCTGACCAAAATGTGAAATGTTATCTCGTCAGTCTTATCAATTTTGATAATCTCGAAATGCATGGTCTGATACCATACTATTTGTAGTTCTGCATAGCTTAGAATAAGTAATAGTACAATTTGTTTTTCAATGTAATTAAATGAAAAAAAAAGAAGTAATGGGTTATTGCTTTCTGTTAAACATATACATAGATTGCGTTAAGGATCAACTGCCATTGACTGTAATACTAGTTGTACGTTTGATTTTTTCAAC